CTGCGCCATTGCCAATTCTTCCTTCAGTAGCCTGTGGATACAGCCCACTGGGAAAGTGATCTCTGCTTTGGTTGATCAGGATCCATGAGGTTTTGGTCCAGCTTTCTTTCCACGGCCAGACATCTTTAGTCTTACATTAGGAGAAAATCAATTTAATACATTTTCATTTAGAGAACAGCATCATTAAACCAGCTGTTGTGTTTAAAGTGAAGGCCTATAGCATTTTAGGTCATGTTTAAACATTAGAGCAAACAGTCTTATAATGCACAAGATAAGAAAGAATTAACTCATTCCTCTTGCAGTAGACCACATCAAACTTTAACAAACACTCACCAATATTCTGCACTTCCTTCACGTTAAAACAGCAGCTACACACAAACAGAACACTGCTTTTATGAGTCGGGCAGTAATTGGTTGATTGCTGACACCTGGCTCGTCTGCTACATGAGAATGGATGTTGTGTGACAACCCTCCTCCTGTCATACACTAGGTGCTGGTTCTTCATCTGTTACAGGTGCTGAGTGGAGGATCGTTGGCAGGATGAGTCTCACCTGTGCCGGGGCGTGGCTCATCCTTAAATACCCTTTCCAGTTGGCAGGCGGGGGAAAGGAAGACCTGTGTTGACGGGCTCACCACAACGGTTGCTGACCTTGTGAAAGTGCTGTTACGTGTTTTTGGCATTACAAATAAATTACTACTTTTGGCGCCAGCTCATTGTCTCCCTGTTTTGTCTCAGTCTATGAGCCGGGCTGTGACAGTTGAAAGAACCTTAGGCCAAGTCCCAACGTCCCTCCTTACGGACTCAAGGACTTTGAGGCGCGCTCCCGCGAAGTCCGTGAGGGGTCAGGGTTTGAGGGTTTAGGGGGGACATTGGGATTTGGCCACAGACTTCTGTGCAAAGGGAATAATGCAGTCTTGGAGGCTATCAAATGAGACCGAAATAATCAGTGTTAGATATGAGAAAAGACATAATGAGGAAGTAGGTAGAACAAGATATGGTGTGAGACAAGGACAATCCACTCGGGTCAGATCAGGTTAAGTTTTTGGTAATTTACTGTTCTGCTGGAAGAAAATCCTAGAAAATTGATGTATTTATAGATGCTTCTATAGGAGATTTCTGGGTGTGTGAGTTTCTGGAAAATGTGTGCAGCAGCAGTTGAGAGAAGCTTTTGGCTCTTAAACACCTGGAAAGAGAATTTATATCAGAGAGGGAAGTTTTAGTTTAAATCTTGTAGTTTGTGGCAAAGCTTTAGATGCCAGCCGCCATTCACAAAGAACAGCTTACAATTGACAACGTTATAGACTGTTTGATACTCTCATTTAACTGAGTAACGCTGCAGGTGGACACTATTGTTTGTTGATGCAAAGAGTAAGTTGTGCTTTTCTGCACAAGCACACTTTTTCCTGTGGAAAGCTCCAAATACCAAACATTTGTGTGAAACCGATCACAGTAACTGCACAGAAAGTAACCTACTAGTAACACACTGATGATATATGTGCATATTGTTTAAATTAGTGGAGGAACACTCATTTAATAAGAAAGGGAAAGTGGAGAGAGAAGTTTCAAGTGTTAATGGCAGTGAATGCGATTTGCAACCTCCCAATCAGTCACACAATAGAACTCCAAAATTGCTGCAACAACCACCAGGCACAAAAACAATGAGCAAGATTTGTATGAGTAATAGGCAGTGGTGGTATGTAACCGATAACATTTTTGAGGCCCTGACGGCCCACCTAATAAACATTAGAAAAACAATCGGTCCTCCGCTACTACTACGTCGGTGCTCGGGCCCTAAAAATACAAAAGACTATCCCACTGACATTTCATTCACCAAACTTGCACCCAGTTCAGAAAATATAAGTTGGCCAATCTTATATTAAACACAGTCTGGAGTTCAACATTTTGCAAGTTTAACACATCAGGAGTATAAGGTTTTATGGCAAAGAAATGCTCTGAATATTATAAATATATATAATTTAAGATGAAAGACAATCGTCAATATGATAACTTAAACCTTTGTGTCCGGCCACTGCAACGGGGTTCATGGACGTAGAGAAAAAAACAGTAGCATACGACACTGGTTATTGTTTTTTGGTTACTATGCATCGTTGTAAACACAGACATGAAACTCAATGATCAGTTTTAGTTGCAGCTTTTTATTTAGTCAAGCCAAAAACAAAAAGGAAAAAAACAAACCTGTTGGATTTAAATCCAACCAAAGCAAAGATGAAATAAGTTTTTATAAGAAAGAAGCCAAAACATTTTTCAAAACTATACAACAAGGAACAGAAATCTCTCTTATACAAACCCCTGGTTAAATACTGGTCAAAGTGCTAGTGCATAAGGAGAAGGAGTTGTCAAAACAATGACAAATGTTTTTTGGCAATACATAAGTCACATCCCATAAATCCATTTAAGAAAAAGAGGAAAATAATACTCAACTCACAATATGGCAATATTTTTCACATCTTTAAAAAGTAACACAATATATTTGACAGTTATCAAGCTTTTTAAAAAGGCAAGATGTACACAGTGATTATTGCTCTGTGATTGTTTATCGAGTAGTTCTGAATGTAAAACTTAAAATAGGTTTTTTTAACATTATGGAAACCTCTGACAGTAAACATAGCCGGTCTAAATGGCTCACACCAGCATTTAAAATAAACATTTCTGACCTAAATTCACCATTATGTAATTACTGCGATTAGTGAATTCAGTCCTGAAAGTGAAAGAAAAAAAATCCACGAATAGTTCAGTTGCTAACAGAGTTAGCTGAGGAGTCAAAATGGCGGAAACTTTGTACAGTTACTCTGCTTTGATGGAGTTTAAATGCAGTTGAAAGACAGGAGTTTGTTAGCTGATACTTTGCTAACTGTTAGCGACCCAGCTAATTTTGTGAGCTATTTTGGCTTGCTAGGGCCAGATTGTTAGCAGCTAGCTAGCATATAATCAGTTAGCTAACTAGCCTCAGTAGCCTGCCAACTAGCTCTCAAAGAGTAAGCTACGTCACCAAAGCCCATGAATTTTGCTTAGTTACATTATGATGTGACCAGGCACCAAAATTGTAAGATCCACGTTAGCTTCTTTAATGAAAATTCTTTAATGGGTGAACATTTTTTGAAAGTGGACTCAACTTTTACCACTCTAATCTGTACTTGAGCTTTAACTGGAGCTAATTGCTAATGCTAACATGTTAGAGTTCTTACATTAGCATGCCATGCTAGTTAAAGTACAGGAAGGTATACAGGTTTTGGGTGATAAAACCTGCATGTAGCAATCAAAAATGTTGACGATGCATCTCCTGTGGAGCAAGAATGTCAGTAAAAAATGTAAAGATGTTATGAACTTTTACTCTTGACACACATTGGCACCTTGAGCTAGCATGCTAAAAAGGTTTTTCTAGATGGCAACCCACAATTTGCGAGAACTTGCTAAAACTTGTATCATAAATTGTGGGGTAATCTAAGACCTGCTAAAAACACTAACATTAATTTAGCTGGTTGTCATTTATGACTAAATAAAACTCAAACAGTCCAATATGTGTTGAGAACGAGTGGAGCTAAACACTGGACTCAACTTTTACCAATCCAAGCTTAACGCAAACGTGCTAACGGTAGTATGTTACCAAGCATTTTACTAACTAATGGATATTCACATAGTGGTATAATAGTGTGTAACATTCAGTATTTTGCCATGTTATCATGCCTCCACTGTGTGTGACTGCAGAATATTTTACGTTAGCATGCCATGTTAGCATTAATCTCAAAGTACAGGAAAGATCACAGGGATTCTGTAATATGTTCTAGAGGAATACAGAAGTTTTGGGTGATAAAACCTGTGTAGCAATCATGACAAAATCAGGGGATCGGTTAAAAAAAAAAAGGTTTTCATGAGGTTTTACTCTGAATCTCCTGACTGGCCCCCCATTAGCCAAGATGCTAGCATGCTAAAACACTATAATTATGCTATTTATCTTTTTCTCACTGAATTAAACCAAAATGTCAGTTTAATTGAATCTGAGGTTCATAAAACATGTTTAAAACCCCCCAAAATAAAACGGGCTAAAGTTACCTTTTTCCGCTCTTTAATACCGTATATAAACATACAAACACTGAAAGTGAAGTGGTGTCTTCCCCCAACAGCAGAATGAAGAGTCAACTCTACATTAAAATGTGTCAGCTAACTCCAACAAACCTATAACATCAAGTTGTGATAAAGTTCTGACACATAATGAGAAACCTAAAGCAAGGCACACAAAAAAAGAAAAAGGAAAGCAAACTGACTGCAATTAGAAAGACAAAACATTTGGCATCAGGTATGAACAGAACCAGAAATATCAGTTGATAAAAGTTGCGTTACAGTTCGGCGTTGTTCTAGTTTGTCGATAGTTTCGTAAATCCAAAGGGTTTTAAATACTTGAACTTTCTAGCAGCACGTCCAGGTATATTGAATGTACTGTGAATGTTTTCAGTTTTTATTCAAGAGGATCCTTGACTGATTACTTAAGATTGAGTTTAATTGTGAGGATCTTTAAGATACTTGTTGACTCCTTATAGTTGTCCTCACAACAACCTCCAGTCAGGTAGTTATTGGAGAAACCGTCAAGTACCTGAAGTGGACATCCAAGATTAAGAGCAAACACAAATCAAATGCTTCTTGAAAGCTTCACTACTTCACTAGCGCTCTTTTTCCCTCTTAACTATCGTTTGTGTGCCATTGAGCAAGTGTTTTTTGTTTGTTTTTTTGAGGATTTGAAGGGTTTTGACGATAGCTTGGCAACCAGAAGATCTTTAGCTTTATCTTAGAGCTTTACGTCGACATGATCAGTTATTACGTGAGGCACTTCAGCGGAAAGGTAGCAGCCTGGTCACGCAAGCATTTTTTAATAACGGCTAAACTATCGGCATGATTAACAGATTAGTTCACGGAGGTTTCAACAAACTCCGACTTGCAAAAATCCATCGAAACACAAACGAGGACGCGCTTAAAAACTAGCACATTTCCGTCCATCTTTGTCTCGTAATTGACAGAACAAAAAAAAAGGTTTTAACCGTCACAACGTCAAATAATCAACTGATATTATATTGAAAGGAATTACAAACAGATTGTTTTGGCCGCTCCGTTACCTGAAGATAGTCTTGAGGTCGATACAGATGGTGTAGCTTTAAGAGTTGTTGAGATGCTACTTCAGGGACCGGAATCATTGTTGTTCAGCTGCGTGCTAAAGTAAGAACATTTACCAGTGGAGATGCAGTGAAAATGGAAAATATTCATAGTTGTAGATCCAGTTTAAAGCCCTTGGGGACTTGAACCCAAGACCTGCAGACGATGCAACCTCTAACAGCCAAGTGGTCGGTGGGACCAGCAGCTTTAGTTGCCGTAAAACCAGTTACCTGGACCGGTTTTTATCTACATTGAGGGACACACGGGATCACCTGGGGGCGATCTCCTGCATCATGGCGGGCAGGTGGATGGTCGGACACGAGTCTCTGTGTCTCAGTTTGAACATCAGCTGCTCTTTTTCCAGAGATAGCTTCTGGTTGATGACGGCCTGCCTCTCCAGCGCCACCTTCAGGTCCTGCTGCTCCTTTGATAGCTGCCTGGGAAACACAAAAGAAAAGGGAGATTCAAATAAATGTATGTAAAGTTGAAACTTCTGCAGGATCTTTTGGAGACATTTTGCTGATTTAAATCAGCTTCATATTTTGCCAATGAGATCGATAAAAAAATAAAAATAAAAAAAAGAACTCCCATAAAAGGTTGCCTAAATAACGAATTATGATCATTTGTGAAGCTTTAATACAATAAATTGTATAAGACCTTTAGATTTCGGGTCATCGTGCATTAACAGGTAACATTTCTCTGCACTTCCCTTTCTATAAAAAAAAAAAATTTAAAACAAAGAAAAATGCTTTAAGTATTTGTTATTTGATAACAAAACAGAATACATTTTTTTTTAAATTAAATAATAATATGATAATATTAGATATTACTCATTTTTTAATCCCGTCAAAGTTCTGAAACCGTCTTGATAAATATTCTCATTTTATTTTGAAAATGTGTCACAACGCAGACGTTGTTTGTCCTCCAGGTGGCGCCACATTGCTGCTCTTTGAGCTGCTGTTAAGTTCCAGAGAAGAAGAAGAGGACCACGTACTGAATGAGGCTCTGACAGTTGTCTATCCGGACTCTCAGATCCTCGTTCTGCTGCAGGATGTGGACGATCTGATCCTCCAGAGACAGATTCTTCTCCACCTGAGAATCACGATGAAGAAGAAGAAAAAAAGAATAATCAGGAAGTGGAAAGAAAGTTAGACACATGAGAGATTTCTATAAATATTCCTGTTTTCCTACCAGATCGTCCATCTGCTGCAGCTTCCTGCTCTGCTCCTGCACGCGCTCGCTCTTCATCTCGATCACAAACAGCAGGGACTCCTGCTCCGACTCCCAGAATGCACCTGGGCTGCCATGGGCCTGGAAGGCCACAAAGCACAAACAACACTCTCACAGATATCTCTGGAAAATAACCGCTGTTGTGTCCGAGTTCATAACATCATCCGGAGGAGAATTCACTGTATCTAACAAACCACTGGTTTACTGCAGCTGTATGAATCCAAAATACACTATTCTTCTGTGATTTAACTTTAATAAACGGATTAAAAAGGATGCAGAAATAACGACGTAATGATGCTGATTTGTAAAAAGTCTGAATTCATGTTTAGTTAGTTCTCTCCACAAGACAAGCAAACAACATTTAAAACGTTTGTTTTCTCAATGGAGCAACTAGCATAGATCTCAACTCGATCTATGCTAGGCTACGCTAACGTTGTAGCAGCTCCATCAACAATATGGCAGCGTGGTTATTGTATGTGTGTGTGTGTGTGTATATGTG